CTCAGGCTGGTCTCAAACTCCTGGACTCAAGCAATTCTATGGCCTTGGTCTCCCAAAGTGCTGGGATTATAGGCATGAGCCACTGCACCTGGTCCATTATTCTTATAATTATACCCTACTGAAGAGGTTTCATTTATTTCATGTTATTGCTACTGTAAACAATGTTTTGCTAATAGTCTTGAACAGATTTAGTGTAACAGCTAGATAATTTTCTGGGATAATCCCCGGGAAATTACAGTTCAATAGGTAGAGACTTTGGTGCAGACAGAAACCCATGCGTCCTCCTATGACATCCGACAAGTCTACCTAAGCCCATACCTCCTTCTCCTCCTTCACCCCTGTAGTGGCAGAGGAAGGCCTTCCACTGTCTGAAGGATAAGGGTCCCTTTCTGGTTCTCCTTCAGAGGACAGGTGATGATGGATGGGCTACATCTTAATGTGAGTTCAGGCTTCCCAGAGAGCTGGAGGGAGGAAGGGTGTTCTAGTTGGGGGAACAGCTTGGACAAGCGGAGGCCTGAGAAAGCAGCATTCATTGGAGTGTGAATGTTGTAGACAGCTTAGGTGCCAGGATGCAGGGTGGACAGTTGGCAGATGACCCCAGAAGGAGGCCAAGACCAAGCAATGAGCCATCTTTGTGACGGAGCTGAGACCGCTCTTATGCCCCAAAGAGAAAGGCTTGGTGAACTAAAGTCAATGTCACCAACCAGAAATGCTGAATTTACAAGGGAGACTTGGAGACCAAAAAAGCACCTAGTTGGGGACAAAGAAAGTTCCCGCATTTGGCAGATGTCACTAGCACCTTGATTTGAAGTTCGCTTTAGTCTCGAGACTCCCCCCCACTCCCACCATGTCCCGCAATATGGTTTCCCTTCTTGACTCCCGATTAAGGCGGAATCTCTTCTGCTGCAGGTTTGAGAGCCGTCCTCTTCTCCCTGGACTGGCATTTGGGACAAGGGCCATTCCAGAGCTCCACGGCCAAGCCGGATGCTGAAAAGGGAGTGCCCCCAGACCATTCTGCCAGCTCACGGCCACAGGGAAAGTTCTTCAGCTGCTCTTTCACAGAGTACCACCCTCCTCCCAACGAAGAGTCTAAGGCCAACGGGGCTTTTTCCCGAAGGGAGCCTGCCCTAGGTTGGGGCCTAGGGGAAGGGGGGTGGCAGTGCAGCTCACCTTCACACCTCCAAGAGGGCACCTGTCCTCGGCCTCAGTTGAGTAACTCCTGACCTTCTCGGCTCCCTCCCTCCCCAAAGGGGAACGAGGGTTCCTCGGACACCTACATCGTTTCCAAATGCCGGGAAAGCTGAGGCCTCACAGACGCACTCCCCTCGCGGTGGCATTTACCTCCAAACGCGAACGAGGCGGATGCCAGCCCGAGCACGCACGCCGGTAACTTCACCCTCGGCTCAGCGACCTCGGAGGCGCCCGGGCCCGCCCCACACCTGGGCGCTAAGCCTCCCGCACGTCCCAAGCGCGGACGCAACGCCGCCCTCAGGCCAGGTGCGGCTCGCCGCGGGATGGTGCTAACCCCAGCCCCCTTCCGGGCACGTCCGCCCTGCGCCCAGCCCCTGTCTGGAAG